TCGCGGAGAGCGCTGGGCTGCCCGCTGGGCTCCTGCCCCGCCGGACCCTAGCCACGCTTGACCTCCTGCCTCTCGTAGCCTCAGTGGCGACCTCTCCAGGCCGGGCCGGGCACGGCACCCCAGGCGAGCGCGGCAACGACCGCTGCTCTCCGAAGGCTCCCGCGCCCCCCGGGGCAGCTGGGCGGGGTAATGCCCTCGGTGATGGAGAAGCCGAGCGCGGGCTCCGGGATCCTGTCCCGCAGCCGGGCCAAGACGGCGCCCAACGGCGGACAACCCCACTCGGAGGATGACAGCAGCGAGGAGGAGCACTCGCACGGTGAGCCCGGAGGCCTAGGGTTAAAGGCGCACCGGCCCGGGGGGGCGCGGAGCAGGGCGTGGGGGAGAGTTGCCGACCACGGGGGTATTATACGGATGGTTCCTGCCTTGCCTGTATTGGAGCCTGTGCCTTGCTTCTCCCCCGAGCCGGCACAGGGAATCTGGAGGCTGGGCCCCTAGCTGCCGAGGAGGCGGTCCTGCCTGCCCACTCCCTGCCCTCAGTCCCCGAGGGACTCAGGCGTCCCTCCCTTTCACAGCTTGGGCTCCTCGTACCCTGCCACCTTGCAGGGGACTGAGGTCTGACTGGGGCAGGAGCTGGAAAGACACCTCCACACCGAGCTGTGGGGCTCCTGTGGTGGGGAGGAGCCTTGGATTCTCTGCAGGAGGGCTGTGGTCCAGGTCTAGGGGCAGCCCTCCAACCCCCCCAACTCCCCCCCCCCCCGTCAGAACAAAGGGCTCTGCTGGGCCTGGGCTTGAAAACTGGCCCCTGTCCTCTCCCCCACCCCCCATGGCTATGGCTAGGCAGGTCTCTCCCTTTTCCAGTTCCTTCTGTGGCTGAGGGTAACTGAGGGGAAGATCAGGGAAAAGTGAGCCTCCTGGAAGATGGGGGCCCTGGGTGGTCAGGAAGGAGAACTCCAGGCCAGCCACCTCCCCCGCCACATCCTCCCGTCCTCCCTCCCTCCCTGGAGTCCTGACTGCCTCCCCCCACCCCCCACCGGCTCCACAGACAGCATGATCCGCGTTGGAACCAATTACCAGGCCGTAATTCCGGAGTGCAAGCCTGGTGAGTGGCAGGACAGGCTGTGAAGGGAGGGGACTGGAGGGCCCATGGCTTGGCCCTGAGCCCCACCTGGGGGAACCCTTGGCTGGCGCCCACTGTAAGGACAGGCGGGGGTGGGTGGCCGGCCCTGTGGCATGGTTAGTTTTCCTGCTCTGCCTTCCTGTCTGGGTCTCTGTCCCTCCTTCCCCTCTGGGCCTCACCTCGCGGGCCCCACTCCTCCGCTGCCCTCTGGCCGTGGGTCCAGGCCAGCGCCACCAGGCTGATGATGTCTTCCCTCCTTTGCTCCGTTGCCTTTCAGAGAGCCCCGCACGCTACAGTAACAAGGAGCTGAAGGGGATGTTGGTGTGGTCGCCCAACCACTGTGTGTCAGATGCCAAGCGTGAGTGGGGTGGGACCCTGGGCTCATGCATACCCTTGGGAGCTGGGGCCTGGGGTTCATGCCAGCTGGCAGCCAGCTCTTCTCAGAAGTGGGCTGGAGGCTGAGGTGTGTGGGTTCAGCCCCTGTCCTGGGGCTCAGGCTCAGGGGCCTAGCCCCTGGGGGCATACCCCTTTCCGGGCAGGCCTGGCTTAGGGGTTGTAACCCCTCCTCCAAGACCTGGCTCCTCCCGCCCCTGCAGTTGACAAGTACATTGCGATGGCCAAGGAGAAGCATGGTTACAACATCGAGCAGGTGAGCCTTGGCCCCGCAGGGATTTGGGGTGGAGACGGGACAGTGCTGCGGGCAGCTGAGCCTGAGTTGTCCCCTCTCCTGGGCCAGGCACTGGGCATGCTCCTGTGGCACAAGCATGACGTAGAGAAGTCGCTGGCTGACCTGGCCAACTTCACCCCGTTCCCGGACGAGTGGACGGTAGAGGACAAGGTGCTGTTTGAACAGGCCTTCGGCTTCCACGGCAAATGTTTCCAGCGGATCCAGCAGATGGTAAAGCCCTCCACCCCCGCCAGTGCTCCTTGGCCCCTTCTTTCTGTTAAGCCTAACCGAGGCCCAGAGTCTTAGGTGGGCCCCAGCCTCTGGCGTTGCCCCTCCAGCTGCCTGACAAGCTGATACCCAGCCTGGTGAAGTATTACTACTCTTGGAAGAAGACCCGCAGCCGGACCAGTGTGATGGACAGACAGGCTCGGCGGCTGGGGGGCCGAAAGGACAAAGAAGACAGGTGGGGGGCTCGGGGAGGCTCTGGGTGGGGGTAAACTGAGCTCCTGGGGGCCCTGGCCCCTGCCTTACCCGGCCTTGGCCCCCGTGTAAGCAGTGATGAGCTTGAAGAGGGACGAGGAGCCGTGAGTGAGGGGGAGCCGGACGCTGGAGACCCCAAGAGAGAGGTGAGGTCCCAGAGCTCCTCTGGCCCTGCCCGCCTGCCCGCCCTCTCCCTGGGCTCTGCACCACCCACCTCCTCTCCTTTCCCTGGCAGCCTCTGCCCTCTCGGCCCCTGAATGCCCGCCCAGGTCCAGGAAAGAAGGAGGCCCAGGGGTCTCAGTACCGCCACCATCCGCTGCGAACTCGGCGGCGCCCTCCCAAGGGCATGTACCTGAGCCCCGAGGGCCTCACTGCCGTGTCAGGGAGCCCGGACCTTGCCAACCTCACACTTCGAGGCCTCGACTCCCAGCTCATCTCCCTCAAGCGCCAGGTGGGGGGCCCGAGGAAAGAAGGGGCCAGGCAGGCAAAGGGGACAGTCGGCAGCTGGGAACTATGATTGGGGGCAGCTGGAGGCGTAAGGGAGGTCGTGTGGATGCCAAGCCTGCCTCTGCCCCATCTTCTGGGCTTCTGGGTAACTTAGTGTTCTTTTCTGGACATTGAAACAAACAAACAAACAAACCTGGTCTTTGAAAAGGGGCAAACCCCAGTGTCTCCTCTACTGAATGGTTGTGAGGGAGAGATGAGGTAGATGGTGGGGGGCAAAGAGCTTTGCTGGGCAGTGGGGCCTTGGCGAGGGTTGGTGTTGACGGCCTCCCTGGCTTGGAACTTGATGTCCCTTCCTTGCCTTGCCTTCCCAGGTGCAAAGCATGAAACAGACCAACAGCAGCCTCCGCCAGGCCCTGGAGGGGGGCATCGACCCGCTCCGCCCCCCCGAGGTGAGGCTGCGCTTCAAGTCCGGGTGCAGGAGGGGGCAGAAAGGGGAGTTTCTCTTGGGTAGCAGGGCCTCTGTTCCCATATGTTTGAGTCTCAAGGACATATTCCTTGCGCCCCAGGCCAACACCAAGTTCAACTCCCGCTGGACCACGGATGAGCAGCTTTTGGCAGTACAAGGTGGGTGAGACTCGGAGAATAGAGGGCCCCAGGAGCCTCTCCTGCCCTCCGAGGAGCTGGGGCAGAGGGGGAGGATCAGGGAAGTAACTAGTTCTAAGGGGGTATTCACACCTGCTGCCCTTTTGACCCTTGCAGCCATCCGTAGGTATGGCAAAGACTTTGGGGCTATTGCAGAGGTGATTGGGAACAAGACTCTGACCCAGGTGAAGACCTTCTTTGTGAGCTACCGGCGCCGCTTCAATCTGGAGGAGGTGCTGCAGGAATGGGAGGCCGAGCAGGATGGGGCCCCTGGAGCCCCCCCGGTCCCCATGGAGGAGGCTAGGAGAGGGGCTCCCTTGCCAGCCCCGGCCCTAGAGGAAGACGATGAGGTGAGAAGGGGAGAGAGAGCGAAACGCTTCAGAGGACAGAGGAGAGGAACCGCCTCCGTCCTTAGCCTGGGCTGAGGGTGTGCTTGAGCCTGGTTTCTCACTCTTCTCTCGCCCCTCTCAGGTCCAGATTACATCTGTGTCGACATCAGGACCCCGATCGGGGCCCCCTGCGCCGCCCCCTCCTCCGCCTCCCACCTCGCTGTCCCAGCCGCCGCCACTGCTGAGGCCACCTTTGCCCACGGCTCCCACCCTGCTCCGCCAGCCACCCCCACTCCAGCAGGGCCGCTTCCTCCAGCCCCGGCTGGCCCCCAACCAGCCCCCACCACCTCTTATCCGCCCTGCCCTGGCTGCCTCCCGCCACGGTGCCCGCCCCGGCCCTCAGCCCGCACCCACCCTGGCTGGAGCCCCCCTGGAGCCTCCAGCACCCTCGCTCTGAGCCCTGAGGCCCTCCACCAACCAGAGGCTCCAGAACCCCTTTGCCGGACGTCCTCGGGGACCTCCAGCTTCACTGAGGACAGAAGAGACTAGAGCTCTTGCCAGGTCTTTCGAAGACCCAGCGCTGCCGACGGGCACAGCCTGGACCCCCGCGGGTTCTGCACGTCTTTCTGGCAGCCAGCCTGTCTCCACCCCCACCCCAGCCAGGGTCTGGGGCCTTCTGAGGCTGGCCCGAGGGTACTTTTCCTGGCTGGGACTGGAACGGCTGCCTCCTAGTCTGCCAGGGCCTGGCCTAGGGGTCCTGCCCTTCGTGTGTAGGGGGTAGTGACCATAGCCTGGGGGGGGCGCGGAGAGGACAGTTTAGTGTGTTGGCTGTTCTTCCTCTTCCCCTTCTTTTAGCAATAAGTCTGGGGTGAGGTGGGGAGGGAGCTGGAGGGGGGAAGTGGGCAGAAAGGTTCCTTGGGGCCTGACAGCAGCAGAGGCTGAAGAGGTAGCTCTCCAGTCTTCAGGGGGCCGGGTGGAAAGTGCCGAGGAGCCCTGAGGGTGCCCACTGTGCCCACCGCCCAGAAGTTTAGAGAAAGGAGGGTTGGGAACATATGCAGACATGGGTTTATTTTTCAATGTTTTTAAAAAATAAATAAAACCTTCAAGCTCACTGAATCCTCTTTCCCTTTTGGTTTAAGGGTCTTGGGCTTTGCTTCCTGTCTGTGCCATGAGGGTGGGGAGGGATCCCGCCCAGCACCGGCCTTTCCCCAGGCCCCAGACAGGAATCAGTTCTCCCCTGCGAGGCAGGCAGGCTGGGCCACATCTTGCCCAGGGGGACTGGGTCCCTGCCCGGTAGGAAGAAACAGGAGGCGGCAGCTCAGATTCCAAACATTCTCTTTATTACGTGTTTGATCCAGAGGAGAAACTAAGTGCAGGAAGGGGGGCTGGGTGGGGAGGGGCCACCTTGCCTGGGAGGCCCCCCCCCCAGCCCCTGGCCACCACCCCCTTTGGGAGCCAAGCCTTGCCCTCCCGGCCCCTCGGAGCACCCGGGCTGTTCCATAGGGCAGGAGGGGGGAGGGAAGAAAGGAGGGGGAGCCCTTGGTGGGAGCCGGAGCCCGCATTCAGGGCTTGGGGCAGGAGGGCTGAGGTTGGCGAGGCCCCTTCCTGGGAACCAAGGGCTCGACTTGCCACGGAGCCAGGCCTGGGAGTGGGGTGATGAGTAGGAGTGGAGTCATCATAAATCAAAAAAAAAAATAAAATAAAATAATAAAATAAAAAATAAAACCCATCACAAAAAATGTACAACTCAGGTGAGGGTAGAGGCAGCCTCTGTTCAGGACCCCCTCCCCCAATTTCTCAAGAACAGAAACAGCAGAGAAATAAATTAAGGGATGCAGCGGCTGCCACCAGCCAAGCGCCCATAACCAGCCACTCCCACGCTGGCTGCAGAGGTTAGCAAGCTGCGAGTCACTTGGCCTATCTGTCCCCCCCACCCTGTGGAGGGCAGAGGCTCCCGGCCCTGCTGCCCTGTCCAGCCTCCCGCCAGGCGGCCGGCCACGGGGGCCCCCGGGCAGTGTCTCCTGAGAGGAGGGGCGACAGTGTGAGGAAGAAAAGGCAAGGCCGAGAGATGAGTGGTGAGGGAAGTCACTGCTATGGAACTAGCTGGTGCCCAGATTAATGCCAATGAAGGGGAGCAGTGGGGAGAGGGACGGCGAGGGGGGCTGTGCTTTCAGACAAAGGCTCTCCCAGAACGGAGAATGCCCAGCGTCCCTGTTGCGGAGACTAGCAGCCCAGGCGGCCCCCTGGGGGCCGAGGAGCCCATCTGCCCTGCGGTCCCCTCCCCTCTCCCAGCCCTGGGGTCAGCCCCGCCTTCTACCCAGGAGGGGGTGGGAGAAGATGGCACAGACTTTTTGAGGAGGGGAACAAAAGTCCCCACAGCAGCTTGTGGAAGGAAATGCCCAGCCTCTGGGGAAGGAGGGGCAGAGGATACAGTGTGGAGGGAGGCCGAGCCCCGCGCCTAGCCTGCCAGCCCCAGAGCAGCCGCCAGTCCCACCGCTTCAGGGCTGTGCGGCACCCCTGCCCCCAGCCCCCAGCCGCCCAGGCCTCCAGCCCAGGGGCCTGAGGTCAGGGGAAGGCCACCTCTGGTGGTTTGCTTGGAGGGGAAGGAGAGGAGAGGGGAGAAGCCCAAAGTGGGCCTGGCGGAGGGCCTGACAGGGAACTCCACCACTCTTGCCTGAGAGTGTTCCAGCCCTGAGCCACCCTCCCGGGAAACCCCACAGATCCAGTCTCGACTGTCCCAATGGGGCAGGGAGGAAAGGTGGCCGCTGGGATTTTTTTTTTTCTTTTTTCTTTTTGGTAATAAAAAATTTCTTGGTTTAGGCGAAATACTCTGTGCAACCGCAGTACCGAGGGGGAGCCCTGCCCCCCACCCCTCCCTCCCCTTCCTTTGCCTCCTGTGGGAGAGAGGGGGGAAGGGGGACTATCTGGGCAGGGGTAAATGTGGGGGGGAGAGAACCATCTCCCAACCCCCACAAACATGGAAGAAGAAACTGAGAAGGGCGGGGAGGGGAGACACACCAATCCGTCTCTGCAGTCCCGCCCGGGCAGGCGGAGCGCCGGCCCCAGCAGCTAAGTCCGGCTGGCCGCCCCCGCCGCCCCCACTCCCGGCAGCCTGTTAAAGCTTCAGCTCGTTGGCTATTTTGGAGGCAATGTTTTTGAAGGCCATGGAGGTGCCCGATATCCGCTTAAACCGAACACCGTTGAGAGACAGCCGCGGCAGTTTGCACACCTCCATCTCCCACTGCACGAAGTTCTCGTGGCCCGGCGTGCCGTGCATGCACAGCAGCATGTACTTCTCGTGCAGCTCGCTCTGGCAGCTGTTCGCGTCCAGCACCTTGCGGATCTCACGCATCATCTCGTTGGGCTCCATGGAGCTCGTGGTCTTCATGCTCCACGTGAAGCGTAGCGAGCGGGGCTTGGCCTCCCGAAACTCCTCCTTTTCCTTGTCACTGCCGCCGCTGCCCACCACGTGAGGTCTGCGGAGAGGGCAGAGGCGGGCGTCAGGCGCCCCAGCCACAGGACAGCCCCCCTGGCAGATGGACCCCGAGACCAGAGAGGAGAGCGGGAGGGTGCCCGGGAGGCGGCAGTGCTGGAAGAGGGAGCGTTAGACCTGGCCCAGGGAGCAGAGGAGTGGGCGGTCTCATCTCTCAGGGCAGAGAAGGCGAGAAGCCAGCCCCTGGCAGGGGGTGACAAGGTGACAGTGCCATGCTTTCCTGGGAAGAGGGCAGGGTCAGGGAAGAAAGGGGAGCACGCGCTCAGTAGCCCTGAGCAGTTCACAGACTGGACAGAAAGAAGTGACTGGAGCTTGTCGAGGGGTAGGAGTCTAGAGTCCCAACCGCCTGGCCCAGGCAGGGCTCTTGCTTCCAGAACACATCAGACCTGAGGAGAAGGGCCCACACCCACCGCAGCAGGGCTGTGGGGGTCCTCTGAGGAAAGGGAGGCCCCAAGAGGGGGAGGACAGGGCGCAAGCATGGGAGGAAGAGCCGGGTGGCAGAAGGAAGAGGAGTGGGAGGCTCGTGGCAGGGCCGGCGGCCCGGGCAGGGCGGGCGCTGGCTCTGGCCCCCTCTCACCTGAGCGTCTCCACTCGGTCTTTGCTTTCAGGTTCATTCAGGTTCCTCAAAAAACAGAGCGAGGGAAAGTTTAGTGCTGGGACCTCTGTGAGGGCGGGTCTGGGGGAGGTGCCGCCGGTGGGCGGGCGGGCAGGACCCAAGCCCAGAGGCCACTCGCCCACCACCTAGCAGGCCAACATGGCAGCTCAACTGTCCCTCTCCAACAGGGAGCCCAGCACGCGGGGCCTGCCCCTCCCCACACTCTCAAAGACGGGTGCCGGGAGGAGCCAGGGGAGGAGGAGGGTGTGGACGTGCGGGCACACGCATGGCGCACACAGCCCACAGCCAGGGTTCGCGCGCAGGGCGGCTTCTGCACTAGCACCCCCTGAGTGGGTCTCAGAACTGTAGTCCTCTTGGAGGGAAGGGCGGGGGGCGGGGGGATAAATAGAGGTCTCTCTCAGGAGGCTCAAACGGCCAAGGGCCGGACCTGCTTTGAGTACGCCTGGGGCTCAGTGCCTGGGACTGGGTGGGGAGGAGATGGGCCCTGAGGCCGGCTGTAGACAAGCCCACCTCCCCCATTCTTTTATAACTCCCCTGCCTGCCAGGCCATCTGCTGATACAGAAGGGAGGACAGAGGGCAGAGCAGGGCAGACACCTTGGAAGGGTGGGTGGGGAAGAGGTCTGGCCCCGCTGAGCGGCTTCTCCAGCTCCTGGCTGGAAGATGGGTGCCTGGAGCTGGGAAATTGGGGAGTGCAGAGGAGGGCAAGGATGTGAGGAGGAGTGAGAGAGAGCAGCGGCAGCACATGTAAAAGGAACACAAAGACACAACAGACACACGAATGCAAACAAGTGCACTGCGAGCAGGGAGCCTGGGCCGTGCAGGGGAAGGAGCCTGGCTGCTCTCTCCGGCCCCACCTGGCTCCTGCCCTGTGGGTGGAGGTACCCTGCAGGGCAGGCCCCCACTGGGGCCCCATGAGTCAACAGCCAGCCATGCAGTGAAGAGCTGGGTGGCGAGCAGCGGGTGGAAGGGGGAAAGCCTGAACACCCTGTCTTGGCCGTCGTTCTGTCAGCTGGGGCACCAAAGGGGCTGCTGGGCTGACGGCCTTGGGGAACCAGGGCTCCCAACCTGGCCCTTGGTCCTCAGCTTGGTATTTGGCCCACCCAGGCCACCAGAGAGGATGAAGACAGGGCCAGGAGTGGCACAGCCAGGAGCTGGCCCAGGAAGGGAGACGCCTGAGGGAGGGGGGATCTCCCACTGTTTGGCCAGGGCTTAGGGGTAGACGGCCCCTGCCCTAGAATGTCCCAGCTTCTGGCTCTTCGGAAGTCACAGGCCATAACTGGAGAACACAGCCCAGAGAGGACGCAGCCTGATTCATCCAGAAACGTCTGGAGGTAGGAGGTATGCTGGGGTAGGGGTGGGGTTGGCCTAGTTCTGCAGGAGCTGCCAGAAGGGGGTGCTGTGCCCCGCTCGTGAGGCAAAGGCTCCTTCGGCCTGGAGGCGTCAGGCTGAAGTCTTGAGACCCCAGTGTCCCTGTAGTACCTCCAAAGCCCTGCCATCCCAGAGGACAGGGGCAAGAGGCCACACAGCCCTGAAGTTCAGGGCACCAGGGAAGGGGAAGCCCAGGAGACCCAGAATGAGATACCATCCCAGATGCACTTTCGACCCCGGTGGAGCTTCCTCAGAGCGCATGCACAGACACGAGAAAGGGCTGGAAAAGGAACCCAACGCGCTTGTGACCAAAACCCAGGGTAGGGGATTGGGGAGAAGGAGACAATCTTAAAGGGAGAATTCCCTGAGAAGGTCCCCCTTGCTTGGGGACAGGCCCATCGTTTTCAGAGTCATTTGCCCTGAGTGGGCAAACGTGGCCTTGTGGGCCGCCCAGGCAGAGGCCATCTTCATCCCTTTAAGATGGCAGAGAGAGGACCCCACAGACATGGTTTAGCAGATGCAGGAGGGAGCAAGAGCCAGAAAAGGGGAGTTAGTGATGGAGGCAGGACACAGGACACAGACGCACACACAGCGGGCTCAACGCCTACCTTCTGGCAAACCTGAAAGACAGATTTCTAAAAAAACAAACAAAAAAAGACAAAATAAAAAAAGAAATAAAAAAAAAAAACCAACAAGACGGTATGTGGATAAGCAGGTGGGGAGTGGGCTTTACAGGTTCAAGGGTTACCCCACTTGTGGAAGAGCCGCTCAGCGAGACTAGAGTCCCAGACATCCCCATCTGCTCACGCCCCACCCTGCAGCCCTACACCCGCATTCCGGGGCTGGAAAGGGGCATGGCTTGGCTACTCTAGCTGAGTGGAATGAAGTGCAGGAGGAAGGGCAGGCAAACCTGTTCTCTCCAAGGCTCCTGCTGCTTCCTGAGCTACACTAAGATGGTTGAGGAAGTGGTGGGATGGAGACAGGGAGCAGCCCAAGAGGCCACATTACTGGATGCACCTCAAGAATCAACGCTGTCCTTTTGGGTCATCAGGGGCCAGGCGTGAGAAACCTCACGAAGAGAACCTTCACCCTGGTTCCCACGTAGGAAAGCGTCAGAGTGCCTCAGGCTGCAAGGGAGCCATCCTAGGCCCCCACCAGCTATTTCATTTATGGCCTTCATCCTGGCAACCCCCAGCCCCCCAGCAGAGGAACGTGGCAGAGGGGAGTGGCTGCAGCCAGACAAAACCGACTGGGTGGGGAGAAAGGAGGTCAAAGGGGGCAAGACAAGAGACCAGGAGAAACTCTCCTTGCCGGCCCAGCCTGGCTCAGGCCTCATGACTTTGCAGCTGCGTCACCAAATATAAGTTTCCATGGGAACCCAGGAGAGACGAGGGGGGCTTTTATTTTAGCATCTGAGTTCACACTCTCCTAGAGAGGAGGCGGCATCGGCCATCTGCTCGGGCCAGAGAACAAGGAGTTGGGGAGGCCTGAGAGGGACGGATGGGTCTGGGCATCTCAGGTGCCAACAAAGACTCAATTTCTTAGGCTTCCTGAGGTTTCTAACCCTGGGACCTGATCCCAGCTCTAACCCCCGGTGTCCTCATCCCCACCCCCAGGCAAGGTGGAAGGCCTGGCCTCAGCCTCTCTGCCGCCCTAGGCCCCCTACTCACCTGCGTACAAACTTGGAAGTGAATTTGCTGAAGATGCTCCCCGAGGCCCCCCGCCGGCCCTGGCTGTTGCCAGAGGGAGAGGCTGGGGTCACACCGTAGGGCAAATTCTGCTGGTCCCGCACCTGCCGGAGCTGCCCAGCGTGGAAGGTGCTTCGACTGGAAACACCCCGGGGAAAATTAGTTCGGTCTGGGGCTCCACCGCTGCTGCTGATGTTGTGGGCGGAGGGGGAGGCGACAGGGACACGCTGGGGGGCTGTGCTGTGAGAAAAGAGGTGGGGGGTGGGGAAATGCATCAGGGCATGAGAACGCCATCAGCACCGAGCATCTGGAGCTCCCTGGCGTGGGAAAGGGAAGGGGGACGCTAGGGCAGAGGCAGCCATCACAGAGGACACAGAAGGAAGGGGTGTGACCACTGAGGACACCAGTAAGGAAGATGTTTGGGTGGAGGGGGAAGGAGATGGTTTGGGGGAGGGAGGGGAGGCAGGGAAGGATATGTGTGTGGAGAGCAGTACAGGATGGAGAGAAGAGGCTCCTTGGGAGCTAGGCAGTCTGGAACCTCAAGGGGACAATGTTGACCAACCCTCAAGGATTGAGTCCCTGTGATGCTGACTGTCCCCGGGGTCCTAAGGAAGTCCAGGAAGGCTCAGAACAAAAAGGCTTCCTTCTGGAGCCTCGGGACGGCTTCTTGCATATCTGTTCTGAGAGGGAGAACTGGAGGAAAAGAGGGGCATTAAGCTATTTTTTGTGTCCTCTACTTCCTGGCTGCAGGGGACAGCCATCTCTTGTGGCTAAGATGCCAAAAACAGAGCAGGACCCCCAGGTGGGAAGGAATTGTGGGGGCGGGGGGCGGGGGGGGCTGAGGGCAGCAGGCGTATCAGCACACTTGCCTGGGCCGCGGCACCTCACAGTTACTGTCCGTGGGGGGCAGCCCAGTGGCCTTGTTGGGGTGCACGGAGGCCGACATGGACTTCTGGTGCTGGCGGGGCCGGGCCGCAGAGACCGCGGCGGAAGCAGAAGCCGTGGAGGCCCGGGACCCTGGCATGGTTAGGCTAGGAGACAAAAGCAGTGGAGAGGCCTGGGTTAGGGGTGGGTGGGGGCAGGAGGCTCCGGTTAGGAAGCACAGGCAGGGCGGGAAGGGCCAGAGCTGGGGAGCCTCGGCAGGATGCAGGTCAGGCCCAGGAGCAGCAACGGGGCACAAGTCAGAGCCGAGGGAGGCAGGGTAAGTAAGGAGTAAGGAAGGCGAGGCAGGCCAGAGCCTAGGGAAGGAAACCCAGAGTGCAAGGAAGCCAACAGGAGGCAACTGCCTCCGGGCTGCACTGGTCTCCTAGAAATTCTAAGAACAAGGATGTGTTGTCGCCAGAAAGAGCAGCGTGTTGCTAAGGGGAATTTTCATTAAGCTCAGAAGACAAGGAGCCAGGAACTCAACATGACGGTCAAGGTTAGGGGGGCTCTGCTCTCATGGGCACAGCTAGAGTCACCCTCAATGTGTGCACGCTTCAGGTGGGCATCTCTCGGTCCTGCCCTGAGCTGGGGCCCCTCAGGCACTGACGCCCAGAAGAGTGCAGTTGCCACGCCCTGGCTGCAGTCAAGAAGCAAGAAGGCAGCTGAGATGACCATGGAGTCACACTCGGTCCACCGTAAGGAGCGGTCACAGGAGCACAGGGGAGAGGAGGAGGGGGTGGGGAGAGCAGGGAGGAGGTGCTGGCGTGTGGAAGGCTGGACTGGACAGAGCCAGGATGGGACTCCAGGGGGCAGGACAGGAAGACGGTGCTGCTGACAGACGTCACCGCTGGGAGAGGTGGCTCCCGGGAAATACGGCAGGCAGGGCCCAGGCCTGCTCACCTGTCTTTGCCGTTCTGGATGGAGGCCTGGCCAAGGCTGGCCCTCTCCAAAAGCGGGGAATTCCTGCTTCGATTTGTGCTGGTGGAGAGGACGCTGTTCTGTGGGGAATAAAGGGCAGAGTGGTATCACAGAAAACCAAAGTGTTCTACTGGCAGGTTCACAAAACCTGCTCCCCCTCCCCCTTCCACCACGGATTTTGCTTTTACCCTGTGCGGCAGGGTTTTCTACAGTAAGCTGAAGTGGCCCCGGGGCGGAAGGTCAGGTAGGCAGCCAAAGGGAGCTGGGTCTGCAGTAAGGAAAGAGCTGCCTGGAGAGGGCAGGCCCCACAGCAGGAGCCGGGAGGATGGGGAGGAGAGGTGGGGCTGGCCAGGAGGAGGGAGGGGGTGGGCGTGGCTCACCGTGGAGGGGGTGGGGGTGGTCTTCTTCCTCTCCAGCCCAGGCAGGGGGCTGGCGGGCACTTTGGCTGTGCTGCTGGCCTTCCGCCCTGGCTCCCGGTCCTCCTCAGGCCGCTTGTTTTCTGCGTTGTTACTCTGAGTCTTCTTAGAGTAGGAATTAGAAGTGGGAATGGCAGGACCAGCTGCTGGGCCAGAGGACAGTGGGAATGGGTAAGGGCAAGTTGGAGGGAAGTTAAGTGACTTGCCCAAGGACATGCTACTAATAAGGGCTGAACAGGGATGGAAACTCAGCTGTGTCATCCAAAGCCCCAAGAACCCATCAGGAGAGGGGTGAGTCCCCCACCTGCAGCTCCCAGAAGTACTCACCCTGGTCGCTAAAGCGCCGCTGCTTGGGGTTGGCTGAGACGCTGCGCTGTACCTTGTGGGAGGGGGAAGGGGCACTGCTATTGGTCAGATCAGCTGAAGGCCGGGGTTTCAAGGTGATGGTGTCGCCCTCCAGCTGCAAGAACACAAAAGGGAGGGCAGAAGTCATGAACAGTTGCCTAGGGATGACCGCACTTACACATTCCTGCCTGACACAAATCCACCCCAGGCTCCCACGAGACATACCCCCTGCAAGACCAACGTGCATCTAAATAAACACTCACGGAGACAAGTCCCAACACAGACCCTGAAAAACACAGTCAAAGACACACCAACCTCCCCAAAAAGAACCCCGCCCTCAGAGTGGGATACACACACCACACACATAAGAGTGCACATTCAGACTCAGAGACACCCCCAACACCTCCTGAGCAAGCTAAGTCAAGAATCACGAAAGGGCGTCCAGCACCACCAGGAGGAGCGCAGGACGGGGAGGCCACGAGTGGATGTGGGGACACACAGATGGTGAACAAGGCCCTACTCCCACAGAGACCCAGGGATTCAGGCGCAGACATGGGTACCCATACGAGCAGAACAATAATCACGAAGCCTCCAGATGCACAGACAGGAGGATGGACGTACATGCACACAGATACATATACCCAGACACAAGCTCTAGGCAGAAGCAACACACAGGCTCAAGATTCCTGTAAGACAGACACAGAGCACCCAGGAACCCAGACTTCCAGATACAGAGAGACACAAACATATCGAAACAGTCAGAGACTTCTAGAGCCAACACAGAACTGACCCAGCCAGAATGACCTAGACCCAGTCTAACCAACACAGAATGAGCCAGATCTACTCACCCGTATGGAAACCCAGACCCAGGCCCAGACCCCACCAGCTTCCCTACTGAACTATTGATGGAAATTAGTGAAAGCAAAAGCCAGGGGACCTTAGCACCACCAGAGATGAGGCTTAAAATTAGTCAGTAGAGAGCACACCTACTCAGAGATGAGCTTCTGCCCTCAATAGCTGCTAGAAGCATGGGGATACTACCGACAGAGAGGCTGGCTAGACGGGGAACGGAGCAGGGGGCACACACCTCGGAGCTCTTGTAGCCCAGGAGCAGATAGGTGGCCATCACCTCGTTGTACCTCTGGCCCACCAGCGAGTCCTGGATCTCTTCCCGTGTGTAACCCATGGACACCATCAACTCTGCGTGGGGGGACATACAGTTAAGGCTGGTCCTGAGTCCTAGGCAGCCTCAACCTCACGGCCCAGCACAGCCTCACCTGTCCGCCGGGGGTCCTTGTAGTCAGGGAGTGGCTCCACATAAGGCTTCAATTCATCATCTTCGTGACCCACATTCATCCATCGATCTTTCATGATTTGCTGGGGAGTAAAGGGAAGGGGGAGGGCAGAGAGGGAGACTCAGCTTGGAGGTTTCCTCGGGAACCCAGGACCTCCTACCAGCTGGGCTCAGGCTGCTCACCTCTAAAGTGCCTCTCTTGCTGGGATTGAGAATGAGAAATTTCTTAAGCAGGTTTTCACAGTCTGTGGACATGTAGAACGGAATACGGTATTTCCCCCTCAGTACCCGCTCCCGTAGCTCCTGTAGGAGGGAAATTTAAATCACCCAAGGCCAAGGGAAGGAACCTAATATCCAGGCTCCTAACAGCTTAAGACTGGCCAGGCAGATATAAATGAAATATGGTTAAGAGGCAGAGAGCCTGGGACAAGGCACCTCACTCGAGAGGCGGTGATGTCAAATACCCCACGCCCTCTGGCTTGATCAGCCCGAGGCTTGCTATTCTGAGGACCTTGGAGGGGTGAACGGACATACAATTTATCCCAGCCCTCAAGAGAGGAACTGAGGTTATTTTGCTGGGTGCAGAGGGCTTTTAATAGCTGCTACCTTTTGCAAGCCCTTCTTTGAAGCTCTGGCTCAGGAAAAATGTAGAAAAGCAGCAAAGGTGAGAGGTCAGGGATAAAACCAGAGGCCAAGAGAAGAAATGAGAGTACACATGATCTAAGCCTGCACTTCACTCCACCTTGAGGTTCTGTCCATCAAAAGGCAGGGATCCGCTGACCAGTGTATATAGAATAACTCCCAGGCTCCACACATCCACCTCGGGTCCGTCGTATTTTTTGCCCTGGAAGAGCTCTGGGGCAGCATAAGGGGGACTGCCGCAGAAGGTATCCAGCTTGTTCCCAAAGGTGAATTCGTTGCTGAAGCCAAAGTCTGCAATCTTGATGTTCATATCAGCATCCAAGAGCAGGTTTTCTGCCTGGGAGGTAAGAAGGAAAACGTCAGGGAACCAAGTGGACCACACTAAGGCACCGGACAGGAAGGAGCTGAGCGCAATGGAAGAACAAACAGGAAGTCATCTTCAATGTTAGAACTTCTCCCGCCAACTCCAGGGCAGGCCTCCAATCAGTGTGCAGAGGCTGGGCTGGGCTGGAGGAGGGCCGCGCAGGCCGCTCCTCACACAGGCAGCCACGTGAGAGCTGGGATCTGAAGGCTCAGAGACGCGGTGAGCTGTGCAAAGCTTCCCTGTCAGGCCTGGGTTAATCATGGTCACATCTGCGAGGACGTAGGGGCCAGGAAGACTCACAGGTAGTCTCACATGCTAACAGCTCAGTGAAAGAGATGAGTGTGCTGCACATCTGCAAAGCAGCTGCGGCGCAGCTGTGGACAGTCAGCACTGCTTCCTCCGTCAGCCGCCAGGCTGCCTGCAGCCCTCCTGCCACGCCTGGCTGCACCAGAAGGTGAAGGGCTGAGAGGTGAAATGGCAGAGACCCTCTCCTCGCTAGCTGGAATGGGATCCTAAGTCCAGTCATAAGGCCTATGTCAGAAGCAGCCCTAGGGGCTTCCTCATCATCTCCAAAAAATTAAAGGCTGGTGTTTCCTTGAACACTCGGGGTGTAATGGTTATGTCACAGTTAACAGAGGGTGAATGACCCAGCCCTGACTCAAAGACACTGGAGATGAGAGCACGCCTTACCTTTAAGTCTCTATGAACAATAAACTTCTGGTGACAGTACTGCACAGCAGACACTATCTGAAAGGAAGGAAGAGGGGTCAGCTCAGGGGCACCTGAAGGTGGGCTACAGGGGCTGGTGGAGCTGTGATCCTGTGACCGAGTTCGAAGCAGCCACATAGATAAGCAACGCCCAAAGGACCCTCCAGATGCCGCTTACAGACAGGCAGCTCCTCCCTGTATGCCAAACCCCCCAAAGCAGAGGTCGGGCCCACACTCCACAGAGGGAGTCACACCCACCTGGCGGAATTTGGCTCGAGCCTCTTTTTCTTTCATCCTGCCATGAGCCACTAGGTAATCAAACACCTCTCCTGCAAGTGACAGGGGCAGGGTCTACATCAGAGCTTGCTGGGGCTGGGGAAGGTGGGGACACAGCAGGAAGAGGCAATTCCATACCTACCTCCACTAGCGTACTCCATGACAAGGTAGAGAGTTTTCTCAGTCTCGATCACTTCAAATAACTTAACTACAAGAGAAAAGGCCAAGCTATGAGTCAGAGAAGCAGCAGGGGCCACACATCGAGCCCCAACACGTACAGGGGCATCCCAGGAATCAAAGTTTCCTCCTCTCCCAAAGACAGGTTCCTCTCGAGGCAGCCACACCACTAAGGACAGCCCTGTGCTCCAGAGGCAGAGCTGGATCTTGAGCTGGGTTCCCCAGAGGCATCCTTGAAGACTACAGACTCCAGAAGGCCATGTGCCTCAGGGAGAAGGGCCACATGCTGGGAAGTGGAGCCTTGCTGTGGGGGAAGAGGAAAGGAATGATGACTGGTTCTCACCTATGTTGGGATGATTCAAAACCTTCATTATTCTTACTTCACGGAACAGCTGGAAAATAAAATACCAGGGGTCATGCTTGCTCAGCTTGCTCCCCTCAGGTCCCCTCCAAACAGAGCCACTGCTAAGATTCTTTTTCCAAAAGAGAAAACAGGCAGGGAAAAGAAACAGAGTAGTTGTCCAGATCCTCCATGCCCATCCCCAGTGGCTGAGAAGGACATGGCGGGGAAGGAGAGCAAGAAGGGTCAGTGCGAGGAAAGCTGGGCTCTCATGACTTGTACCCTCAGGGGCAGCAACTGGACGAGCCAGCTGCACCCTTGGGTGCTGTCTCCCCAAATCCAGCCCCCAAACAGCAGACGGGTTTTGGCTGCATGCCTCTGAAAGAGGGCGCGTGAGCCCACGTACATGAACGTTTAGAACCTGAGCTGCTTCTACAGTTCACTGACAAGGCAGACTCTAGCTTGGTCTGTGTGAAGAGGTAGGGGAGCTCTGAAGGGGCCCCTCTGAAGAGGCCCACCACCTTCTGACTTACAGAAGTCAGAGGGCTCTGCACTAGTGGGTACGCCTTTCTCTCCTGGGCCTCGGGGTGGTGACAGAAGAAGCCACTCCTATATATAGCTGATGCCAATTTTAATCAAATCCACCTCCACACACTCACGCTCTCTTTGTGAAACAAAATCAGGGACTCCAAACCATACATTTCCATGAAGAAAGATGACAGAAATGAACTCCATCCCCTCTGCGGGGGCCAGAGAACTGGAGGTGGGGTTTTTTGCAACTTCTAGGCCTCACCGTTTGCACAAGGAGCAGAACTAGTTGTGTTGTGTTTTGTTTTTGTTTTTAAGGAGAGGGGAGGTATGGAGACCTAATTTAGGCTATATTTTATGGGGAAAAGTGAACACATCTTTCTTTTTTTTCCTTTAATGAGATCCCAGAGCTTTTGTGGGCTGGAAAGGAAAAGAAGAGACAGGTTTTCCAATCTTCAAGAACGTGACCTTGGCTCCCTTTTCTTGTTAGGGCCCAGGTTTTTCTTGCTTTCTTCCCAGGCCCAATAGTTATCTTGGATGAAGAGGCAAAAAATCCTGGACGCCACCTCAGGGGCAATAATGGGCCTGGAAAGGGCGTTCTCCTAGGAGAGCGTGGAGTTTTCTGAGCTTGTCTAGAACCCTGAAGAGGTTAGCTTCTTCAGCGTTTGTCCTTTAGGGATCATTGCTGGGATCAAATTTAAACAGAGTGATTTGGCCAGAATCAGACTGGCCTTGGCAATGGAGTGTGCTCAAAGGCTTTAAAAATGGCTGCATTTGTCTGGTGCTGCTGCTTCCAGCCAGTCAGGAAGAGGCAGGGAGAAAAAAGAGGTGGGAAGTAAGATGGCCTAGCTGACTCTGGCAGGCTAAACTGCTCTAAAGACCAAATGGCCCACACCAAGCTGGCTTCTACTCTGTGAGGTCTGAGCCAACATGTCAAGAGTAGCCCTCTTTCCCTTTCTTCCGGAAAGCTCCCAGCAGCAGGGAAGCCCTGGTGATGACAGCCATGTTTCCTTTGAGTCAAAGAACTGTGAGGGGATCCCAGGGGTAACAAAAAATAGGAAACACCTTGGTTTTGGCTGTCAGCATGTCAGGGCACCTCAACTCACACTAATTCTGTGAGTGTCTCTCTCAGCAACAGCTCCCAACCTCCAGTCCCAAGCTTCCCAATCTCACTGTAGTTGGCTGTTAGCATCAGGTTATGCCCTCTCCTAACTCAAGTAACAATGTGCTCATGAAAAGAAAAACTCAATCTGCCACAAGATGCAAAGAACTAGGTTAATCAAGGTCAGAAAATCTGAGCCAGGGTCAGCTGGAGTATGAGGAAATCTCACTGACCTGAACAGGGACAGCTTTTTGGGAGCCTGACGGGAGATTTCTTCCTTCCCCTAACTGACGGAGCCCAGGGTGGGGGCAGAGGGCAGACAGTTTCCAGTTCTACACCAACCAGTCACTAGTAAGCCGTCCCTCCTCTGCAAATGAAAGCCTTCTTTTCTCACTCCTACATATGTGGTCTCACCTGGAGGGTTCCCCAACCAGCTAAGTAAGACCTCAGTTTTCCACTGTAAGTCAAGAAGGGAAGGAAAAGTTCAACCTCATCTAGCAAAGACTACATGCAAAGGACTCTGCAACTGTTAGTCAAAAGAAGCCTAGAAGTGAGAAGGAAAACTGGGAGGACCTGTCATTAATCTGCACGCACTGTAAGAGGCTTGAAACTGGAGTTCAGTTTCGAAAAACCCCAGCCTTCCATACCCATTCTCTGAAATGTAGCTGGCACAGAATCCAGTGGCAGGTTCTCTGCCTCCTCTTACCCCTGTACTTCTAGAGCCACTCCCCTGGATCATTCAGATCTTACAGTTAACTGCATGTGTTTCTAGTAATGGCTATATACATGTGTATAGGGCTGGTCACAGGCCAGAAGAAAACAAGATGCAGGACGTAGGTCAGACAGGTAGGCCAAGGGGCAGGAAAGGGGCAGAAAGACTTCTAAAAGAGCCAGTGCCTGTGGCCAGGAAGCTCAATCAGGAGAAGCCAACACAGGTGATCCAACCCAAACCCTAAAGATAGCAGAGCCACGGAAAGGGATGGTGGGAACAGTGAAACTACCAGAGATTCTGAATTAGGGGTTCAAGAGGAGGTCCAAATGGGGTCAGCAGATCATTAACTCCTGACAGAGGTTTAGAAAGGGACAGGAGGTACTGTGTGCTTACTTTCTGAAGGCTGGAGGAATTCAGTTGAGTCTTGTCAATGATCTTCACAGCTACCTGAACAAGAGATAAAAAGCCCAAGATTACCTCTCTGACCAGGCTAAACTCAGGACCCGAATCTACTTCCTCCTTTATATTTCTGCCTCCTTTTGGCCCTATCCCTCTTAGCACCCCTATCTGTTCAGATCTCATTTCTGCCTGATAAACAAAAGGCTGGCTGTGGTAGAAGTCCCACTACTACCTGCTGGGGTATCAACAGTTGGGAGATGCTGCCACGTCCCCAACCCCAAAGCTCACCTCTTTCCCAGTAAGGATGTGCCGAGCCAGCTTCACCTTGGCGAAGTTACCCTTGCCGATGGTCTTGAGGAGTCGATAGTTGCCAATATGGGGCTGCTCGTCAGCAGAAGTGGCTGAGTTGCGGCCCCGCAGCATGTTGGACTTACTGCTGGGCTTGGAGTCGAGGTGTCCCAAGGTGGGCTGCAGGGTAGAAACATGTACACCTTTGAGTATGCTGCCCTTCCGGTTCCCCATACTACTGCCCTTAGCTCTCTGCAAAAAACGCAAGAGGCTAGGGTATGGGGGCAGACTCCAGGAGGCTGGTAGGCATGCAAAGAAAGAATCATAAGGCAGGGGGATAAAAGGAGGTGGGAAGAGCGCCCACCTTCACGCCAAAAGAGCACAGCCTAAGGTCCAACGTCAACATCCTGTGGGCGCTGGAGCTTAGGACCTAAGCTGTCCCATCACTGGCTCCACTGCCTGGCAACACATCCCCTGTAACAACCCAACAGTTCCTCCACCTCATGTGGGAGAGCGCCGTCTACCGTCCTCCCCGTCGCCTGTTCACACTTTGATAAGGCTACATCTCGAAGTCGCAGGAGCACGATCAGAATTACTGCAAAGCACTCACTGCCTCCCAACACTTTACATTCCTCTTTACTATGTATCACTTTACATTGATTTGTTGTCTATCCGGCAAGAATGGAAGCTCATGAAGACAGGCATGTATCATTTATTCACTGATACATCCCTGCACCTAGACAGACTGGATTAGGGTAGATGCTCAATGAATACTTGTGCAATGAAAAAATGGAATGACAGGGTCTGCGCAAGGCCATCCTCTGCCCTCCTTAGATATCCCATAGCTCAAATAAGGGTGTGAGGAAGCAGAAATGACGACAACTGGCACCAACAGGTATATAAACATAACACAAAAAAGGTATGGTGCAGATGAAAACATACATCTGTATGAAGACCTGTACAGTCCTCAAAGGGCTAAATGTAGAGTTCCATGTGATCCAGCAATTCCACTCCTAGTTACATACCCAAGAGCAACTTGCACACCCATGTACATTCGTAGTATCACACATTCATAATAGCCAAGAAGTGGAAACAACACAAATGTCTGTCAATTGATAAATGAAATATCCACATAGTGGAATATTCGTTGGCAATTAAAAAAAAAAAGAAGGGACTTCCCTGGTGGCGCAGTGGTTAAGAATCCGCCTGCCAATGCAGGGGACATGGGTTCCACCCCTGATTCGGGAAGATCCCACATGCCGCGGAGCGACTAAGCCCGTGAGCCACAACTACTGAGCCTGTGCTCTAGAGCCCGCGAGCCATAATTACTGAGCCCACACGCTGCAACTACCAAAGCCTGCGCGCCTAAAGCCGGAGCTCTGCAACAAGAGAAGCCACCGCAATGAGAAGCCCATACACTGCAACAAACAGTAGCCTCTGCCTACTGCAACTAGAGAAAGCCCGTGCGCAGCAACGGAGACCCAACGCAGCGCCCGCCCCCCACAAGAAAGAAAGAAAATAACTTAAAAACAAAAAAAAGAACTGACATATGCTACAACATGGATGGGCCTTGAAAGCATTATGCTCAGTGAACAAAGCTGTTCACAAAGGACCACAGGCTATATGATTACATTTATTTGAAATGTCCAGAGTAGGTAAATCCATAGAGACAAGAGAGAGACTCTAGGGCTGAGGAGGCTGAGGAGGGCGAGGGGACTTAGGGGTGACAACTAAGGGCTGCAGTAATGAAAATATTCTAATGAAATGCTGACTGTGGTGATGGATACACAGCTCTGAGGATTTAGTAAAAGCCACTAAATTGTACACTTTAACGGGTGAACAATCCCACTGTTAAGCATCTGGCCTAACTCTGGTCGAGAGCACTGATTTGCCTCTTCCAGAACACCTGATGCCATTGCTCCAGCATGATGGGGATAAAGTGCTGCCAGAGCCTCATCGCAGAACCATCCAGAGCTGCCCTGAAACTTCAAGGAAACCATCTGGAGGGGAGCAGGGTGACCAGAGAAGTGTGACTCAAAATTCTTTCTTTCACGGTCCTTTTCTGGCTCTAAGTGAAGCCCTCAAAAACCACAGAGAAAAGAAATGACTTGCTACCACCCAAGGAACTGTCCAGGGTTCCTTGGCAAGAAGCATGCTTCCCCAACCTGTTACTTTTCAGCCCTAAGGGGCTATGAATAGGAAAACACTTCCCTCTGCCCCAACTTCCAAGATCGGAAGATGGGTGAAAAGTTTCCTCGGCAACCTCTAAATCACCTCCTAAACTGTCGCTCTCCTGTTTCCTGAGGATATGAGCCAAGGCAGCAGGGTCTTGACAGTCCCCAAGTCCTCAAAGTTTTGCAATGAGAATTTAGTGTCTACCTGAGGATTTGGGTCCTTTGCTCCCTGAAGCCAAATCTGGGAACCCTACTGCCTATCCTGAGCTCTGCTCTGCCCATCCCTCTCCACGTTTCCTGCTCCAGGGGCTGCTCTGTGTTGCCCAGCAGGACAGCATCCTCCCCACACCCAGAGGCTCAGCTGCACACAGAACTTCAAGGAACAGCAACAACCCTCCTCCTTACTGGGACAGAGAGGGTGCTTAAGAGTACAGACGCAGAGACAAACTGCCAGGTTCAAGCCCCGAATCTGCCGCTCACTCAACACGTGTCATCCTTAAGATGGAGATGAGATTATTACACAGCAGGAAGGAAATCATCTAAAAGATGACCGACGTGGGATGATCCCACACGTGGGTGTCAGGAGATGGTCTAGTGGGTGCCGAGGAGCTCTGTCCAACAGAACTAGGTTCCAGTCCTGGCTCCCCCACTTACTAGCATGAGTTTCCTTATCTGTAAAGTGGTGATAAAGTAGTCCCTATTTCACATTCATTAGGTGACAGAAAATATGTAAAATGCCTTATCCAATGCTCAAAAAAGAACCACCATGAATACCATTATTTTTAGTTCCTAAATACTACAAAGCCTATTTGCAAAGCCGGAAGTCTCATTGTCAACAAGACTTCTGCATCTCAGTCAAGCCCTCCTAAGCCAGCTGCAGCCTATCTGGAGGCCAAGAGATGCTACGTATTGGCCCTCCCAGCTGAGCATCAGCCACCTGGCCTGCACCAGCACCTTCAGCCTTCACAGGAGGGGACTCGACAGGGCGGCTGTGAAGGGCTGATTCCAAGCTAGGTATCCAGGACAGTCAAAGAGAAGGTTCTGCTTGTCTGGGACCCAGAGAAGCAGAGAACACTGGTGCGTGCTCTTTGATTCCCTGCTCTAAAAGTCACACACTCCCGTTTCAGGACCGAACTACCCAACTCTCAGGACTCAAAAGACACAGTCCTTCTCTTACCCCCTTCTGCCTCTTCTATGTTGTGAGATATTTCCCACAGCAGGGATGTGGGACAGGGTGAGGAAGCAGAGAAAGGAGAAAGTCTCTAGTAGGAAATGTTCCTTGGACCAAGGCCCCACGAGAGGCAGCTTCTTTGAAGGCTGAAGAGGAGGTAGGGGTGTGGGTGGCTATCACGGAGAGAGAGTCCCATCCCTGGTTCTCGACTAGGCCTATGTAACCTGGACCCAGATCTCACCAACAGGGTGGGGGGCTGAAGACTAGCTGCCCTTCTGGGCCAACTAAGCAGAATCTAGCTAGAGCCATGCTCTGCCCCCCACCTCCATCCTCCTTGCACACAGTAAGATATCGAACACCAGAAATCCTCAAAGCTCTGGCTGACATCACACCATAGGCAGGCCCCAAAGGTCTGAGGCCAGTCTGTTGAAAGCAGACACCACGGCTGTCAGGCAGCTTTCAGAAAGAACAAGGGGTCACCCTGTGAGGCAGTATTTGGAACCAAATGGCAGAACACGCAGGTTACTAAGCAGGCCTGATTCAGAATTAGGGCCTAAACAGCTCTGAGGTCCTCAATCGAGAGGAGAGAAGGCAGGACGTGAGGATGAAAAAAAAAGTCTTATATCCAATGGGCCCTTCAACCTGGATCTCAGAACTCAGCCTAGGCATGTTGCCACGTTTGCCCGGAAGACAGCCTCCACCCCGAGAGGCCCGGCGCTGACTCAGGTAGGCAGGGCCCCTTCCCTAATGCTGGAGGCCCTGACCAACAGTTCTCCCCTAGAAAAGCTCACGATTTGGGGCTCTGCACTCAGGTTTGGCCTCGAGTGTCCTGAGACTTCCCTGGGGCCAGGAGGGGGCCAAGCTGGGAAGGGGGATAGGCAGGTACTCCCTGGCCAGAGGCAGAGTGAGCCTGGGCACTGTGGAATGGAGGAAAAGTGTCCCTTGGGCACCGGCCCTGGGCAGCCGCCCCAGACCCGTCTCCCCTCACTGTAGCGCTCGTGCGCCCTCCCTGGGCCTCTGCCTGTCACCAGCCCGTTCCCTTCACTCTGGCTGGGCCTGCTCACTCGACCTAAGGGGAGAGTCTTCTCTGGGCATTTGCCGCCTCTTCCTTTCTCAGCCAATGCCTCTTCCCAGGAGGAGCACTTCCCTGTGCTAGTTGCTGCCTGGCTCCATTTAGCAACCCTTCAAAGATCCTGTGTTTGGGGTGACACGGATGAAAGAGGAGGGGGCAATTCCACAGCAAAAAAAAAAGGGGGGAAACATACCCGGCTGGAGAAAGGGACAAGGACTACCAGCGACTTCCATTCAGCAGAGCCCACAGCAGGATCTGTCAGGCAGTGAGGGCAAAGTACAGAGGCCGGGAAGAGCCAGGCCCAGGGCGGGGGCTCCTGGCTCCGTCAGCCACCCTTACTCAGCTGAAGCAGGCGACTCCTTCCACCACCTCGTCAGTGAAAAGCAGCGAAGCAGCCAGGCCAAGCGGCTCCTGCCTGGGAACCTGGACTGTGTCGCAACCGAAACCACCACTAGCAGAGGGAGCCCAGGCTTGGCAAGCAGAGCAACGGGGACAAAGCCCTGCGGCTCCTTGTGGGCCAGGGTCTGGTAGCCAGAAGATGCATGCAGTCCTCGGACACTACCCAGGAGCAAGGTGGGAGGAAAGGGGCAGGAGGCTAACGGGAAGGAAGGGAGACAGAGAGAGTAAGAGGCGGGTTTAGATCAACTTCCTTCTCCCTTCCCCTCCCCCTCTCCGGAAGTGGGCTGCCCCACCCTCCCCAAGGTGCTTTGCTGGGTAACAGCTGGGAGAGGGTGAGGAGGAGACTAACGCCAGCCCAGGTTGT